CTTACAGCACCTAGTATTCTCAAGCGGTCACCCATCTAGGCATTAAACCAACCTCGGCATTGCTTAACTTCGACGGTCGTACGAGAACCGGCGTTTCAGTGTGATATTGCCGGAAAGCATCCTAATTGCCCATCAAATTTTTTACAGCACATTGGATTCCAAAGCGGTCACCCATCTAGATACTGACGAGACTCAACGTTGCTTAACTTCGGCGGTCGTACAAGAACCAGTGTTTCAAAGTGTTTTAATGTGACATGGCCGGAAAACATACTTCTCACACATCCAATTTTACAGCACATTGGATTCCGAAGCAGTCACCATTCTAGGTACCGACAAGGCTCGACGTTGCTTAACTTCGGCGATAGTTTCAATGTGATATAGCACTAAGCTGAAATTATAGAAATAATAGTCAGGTATTTTATGGTGCGGCACGAGGACACGACCATTTTCCCAGCATTTTTAGTGATGGGTCGTTCCCATGAGTTCCACAATTCATTTTAGAGTCTGTGACTTTAGAACAAAAAATGCTTTTATCGAACCGATGACCGAATTTTATGCCTATTGATATATATTGTAGGCAAGAATCTTTTATCGACAAATATTCATTTTTTTTCTTATTAGTTTACATTTTCTCGTTTTTCCCAGTCATTTCTAAACTCGTTATTAAAAGGCTTTTGGCGATAGACTGATTTTAACAAGTTCAGTTTACACAGAAAAGAGAGACACATTGATACCTTTCATGCGTGGCTTCATGTATTACATGCATTGGTATATAATTGCAGAATCAATTTCGATGTCTGTTTCTATATAAAGATCTAATATAGACCCAGAAGCTATGATAGCGGCCCACACAAAATGTAAAGTTAGCAACAGTAAGAAACTGTAACAACTATAAGAATAAAAATTCCAAGAGATGAAGAAAGAAAATGAAATAGGATAGATTGTTATAAAAAGGAATCTAGAAAAGTAGAATAAGTTAAAAGAACTTGTTGAAAAATGAACGAATGAATGCTTAAGAAGAAAATGATAAAAAAATCTGCTGTTTCATAAGATTATAGAAACTCAGCCCTTTCGTGAATTTTTTAGTATTCTATCGTAAAGTTAAGTAACAAATTCAGCTGATATGCCAGTGTAATGACAAAAGTAGGCCGGTATAGGCTTTAAGAAAGATTTATTCAACTGAAAATACAAGGTTCGCGCATAGTGTCATTTTATAGTCCCAGTAAACAGAAAGAGCTCACTTAAAGAGAAGTGTAAGGAAACAAGGGGAGACCATTTTAGATTATTCATAATATTCAGTATTACGTTGATGCGAATAACAGGAAAGCGAACTGTCACTTGCGCAAAATATAACAGCCGGATTTCTCTTTTGGGATGCCAGGGTTGAATAAAATTGTATCAATCGAAGAGGAAATATTTTCATTCTGCAAATAATCTTTCTATGTCTCGTTTTTCCATTTACTTAGTTTAAGTGACAAGAGACTGGATGTTGAATCGCGTGTTTACGAAGACATCATGGCACTCAGGGTAATAATAGAAATGATATAAAAATGTGTTTATCCAATCGCCCGTTTTACAACGAAACGTTCTATAGAAAAATAAGCAGGTTTTATAGATTTTTCAAACTATGTTTTATCTTTTATTAATATTGAATAAAAATATGTCATTGATATAAACTGACGCAGAGTCGCGTTCTGTGTCGTCTCGAGATCCCCATGCTACAACATAAACGGTATCAACGAAAAGAGTCATTTACTTTTGATATTCATTTTATTAAGAGAATTAACTTGGATTCTAAGAGGCAGTAGGAGGAATGACGTCACAGGAAAGCATGTCGCACGTTGGCTCAGCGTCCCTCCGCGGTTGGTAGTAGCTGGTCGCTAACCTGGATGGGGGGGAGCTTATCGACGCTTCAGGATTCTTGAGACGCTCCGTTGAATTCGTGCTGTCTTGCACATATATTCAAAACCCAGTCAATTCATCACTGACAGAATCCACCGCCCCCGAGGCACTTCGGCCAATCAATGGCCATTCTGGGCGTGACCTTCACATTCTGAAGCACCAGCGTATTTGAGTATTTTTAGTGACTTGATATCAATTCCATATTTTATATATGTAAACGCTTTATTTAGTCACAGTCTCTGCCATTTATTCATGACCATTGCCTATTCCTTTCTCGTTATTTTCAAAGCACGAAAACCATTTTACGTAAAGATTGCTGATCCTCTCATTCGATCGCGGGTGTCCGTCAATGTGCTATCTTGGGTCCTACACTATTTCTGATCTTTTCCCAATGATCACCCCGATGTCATCAGTTCCCAATTAGGTATTTACGCAAATGTTGAGTTGCTGGGAGTGTTCCCCGAGTGTGTGTATTTGAATAAAGACAAACACTTTTGTAGGGATAAATACTGGTATATTTGTAAGAGGTAATTAACAATAGAGTGATTAGTAATAAGGAACGCCGGTTAGTAAGTAACAATAGCAAAAGTCTACAGTCCAACGGTATGTAATGGTAACCTGATCCTTCACACTACACCTTCTACTCTCTCTAGCACTGACTTATATCGTAGAGGGATAAGTCCATTATCAGTCAGAAGGTGGGTGCACCCCCCGCCAAAAGATTGTTTTTTACATTGTGAAAAAAAAATTTTTTTCAGAAAATGACACTAGCATTTACTTCTGTCTCAGTAGCAAATCCGACAGATTTAACAAAGCAAACCTGGAAGCTGCTCTTGAGAATGACTTCCAATCAGTGGTTAACTGGGGCAAGAAATGGCTTGTAAATTTTAACGCCTCCAAAACAAAACTGCTTTCATTCAACCAACATAGAGGAACTTTTCTACCATTCACCAAAATGGCTGACGCTAGAATCCTGGAGAACAACACACTGCACCTTCTTGGCCTCACGTTTTTCATTGACTTGTCGTGGAATGACTATATCGTACCACAAAATGTCTCTCGTCAGATTACATCTTGCACATTTACAAATCTACAATTCGTTATATTGTTAACATAGAAGATCTGGTGCTTCTTCTGTACATGTCGAGATTCTTCATAAAATCCAAAGAAGGATCTGTAATCCTGGCATCACGACTTCAGTCATTTTCTTACTGATATAACGTGGCTTCCCTCTGTCTTTTCTCCATTTATTTCTATGGCTACTCCTCTGACGAGCTTTTTTCCATGACGCCCCGACTACATGAATTTAAAGATGCTACTAGACTGGCATCTTGCCATATCCTTTTATTGTTGTTATATAAATGCAATCGTTACTTCTACTCCAACAGCTTCTTTATTCGTACCTCCTACTTGTAAAAAGTCCCTAACGTTTACTTGCTTCCCTGATAACTAAAATCTTTAAAACTTTAAATGCAACGTCAATCACCATCTTCTGTTTTCTTGAATCCTGTTCACCTTTCCACAATGGTCCTTATTCTCAGTCTTCTCTTTCACTTTCACTTTCTGTAACCCCCTGCTTGTTAGCGTCATTCTCGCCTAGTGGCATATATAAAGGACGTATTAATTACATTTTTATCTTTTAATTCCCAGGACATGTTCTCAGCGTTTTAGGCGATATGATGACTAAAGCAAAGTAGGGAAGAAGTAAAGTAGAAGTCAGAAGATAACATGACGAAGTCTGGAACATAGTAATGCCTTTTTATTATAGTAGTAGTAATGATAAAATTAGTCGTTCCTCTAGAGGTAATATTCGGCATTCTTTGATGAACAATTAATGTTACTGTCGATTTACGCGAGTGAGTAAAAAATAATGCAATATATTTTATGGTATAAGAAACAAGAAACACAATCAAAACATATCGTATATCAAAATACATCACAGGTTCACATCCCTACTTCTCAATATAGTCACCACTTTTCTCAATGTCAGAGTTTCAATTAAGAATGAGAGAAAAATCAGCTAGCTGCTGGTGTAGGCAATTCCTTACAATAGTTTACAGTTCTTCATCAATATCTGGTATAGCATCGTCAGACTTCCGTCTTTTTGGTTCAATGAAAGAAACACTGAAAACAAAGTGTTATTGTGATGAGGAAGATGTCAAACTATTTCAAGGAATTGAATACATTACCCTGATTGGTAAAAAACAGCTGAGTTACATGTCCTCATTCGTAGGTGGAACAATACCATTGAAAGTGTTGGTGAATATGTTGAGAAGTGCGGATGTGAACCTGTGATGTATAGTTATATCTTGATGTATGATATGTTTGATTTTGTTCCAGATTTCTTATATAATAAAACAATCCACATTACTTTTTAACTCACCATCGTATAAAACCTTTTTATTAAAAGTATTTTATTCAGAAAATTAGTATTTTCAGACCCAAAGTAATAAAAATTTATAACATTGCTGAGTTCTTCCTTGAGTCGTGTAGAAAGTTAACAACTTGAATATATAATTATTTTCTCTTCTAGGTACAGCTGGTACCCATTTTCGTCGCTTTTGATGTTGGATGTTAAAAGATTGTTGTCATTTACTGAAGATTTTTTTTTTGTTTATTGTGGTGCCAATCTATAGAGTTTTATGAAAAATCGTATTCTTTTAGCTTTATTCGGATTTATTCTTTTGAAGCTATTTTTAACCAATGAAAACGGTGGTATACAGATAACATTTCAGACTTTCCTGGCATCCACACACAATTCTAGACCTGACTAGGCTATTTAAGGATATGAATATTTTCTGGTCAATATTTCGCTTTTTTAGATGCTGGACAAAAATAAACCATCTCAATGTTTCCACTGTTGAACAGTCTTATATCCTATACAAAATGTGTTATGACTGATATTATCTCATTTCAGGATGTAAGCGATCCTGGCTCGCCATTTTTCATTTTCTTCTTTAAATCTTCCATGAGCGTCGCCTGTATATTCCTTTGTTTTCTTAGCCGCCCGTCTGTAGAACGACATCTCCATACTTTCAAGTCTCTTCCACATTTTTAGCTTTCCTTAAAAGACAGCTATCGTATTTTGGTGGTTGTCAGCATAGTTTTGTGCTATGAAAACAGATAAACTTTATTTAGGGAGACAAGAAAGAAATGGTGGCCTAAAATAGCTGCAATCGGATGCGGTTTTGCGACAGAGCTTAATGTCTAGGAATATACTTCTTGGACGAGAAAACAAAAAGAAAAATAGGTAATGAAAAAAAAAAAAACAAATAGAGGAGATAGCAGAATTTTTTTTCCATAAATCTTAGTTAATCTTTAATTTTTTGCCTGGGA